CACTGCAACCTCCACATATCACTCCACCCTTGAGGAGAAAAGAAGAGGGGGACACGAGGCACGGAGAACATGGGTAGAATTTACGAAAGCAGGAGGAAGAACCAAAAAAAAAAAATATAGATCTCAAGGAAGAAATGGGATCAGCAAGTAAGACAGGAAAAAAAATAAGGCTAGGTAAATATGTAGAAGGCCACACATGGCTACTGTGAATTCTGCTTACGATTCCAGAAACAAAAATCTAGCATTAGGAATGAAATAAAATCACAGCTTAGTCACGGTCTATTGTTAAAGATCTGATGGAGGATGAGAAATAATAGGCAAAAATAGAGACAAGGGAAACAAGGAAGAAGTACAAGAAGGAAAATCAGCAGTAAAAAAAAAGAGAGTCAAAGAAATGCCCAAACACTTCGCTGACTCCTTTTTTCGGTATTTCAAGAAGCGAGGTATGACAGTCACATGCCACCAACACACTATGAGACTAAATAATCAGTGTGTGCTGCTAAAATGTAGATGTAGTCTCAAGGAAAATTAAATAAGGAGTAAGAGAGGAAAACACTAATAATGAAACTATCACGAAGACAATATTCTCAAGAATAACAAATGCAATATTCCCAGAAGGTTACCAGATAGGAAGATAAAAAATGGGTCAGCGCAACAGGAGGGGCAGCGCTGGTGTGCAAAAGCCACTGAAGATTTAACGAACTAGGAAATTTGGAAATAGGATATTTTAGGGATTAGTAGGAGGTAGTATAATTCGAATAGGCGAAAATAACATTTGCCACCAAACAATATGAGGCTGGTATTTAAAAAAAATCCTTCACAACATTGCACCTGACATACGATAAGCCAGTCATTAAGTACCAGATCCTATATGCAAGCACTTCAAAATATCCAAAGGTTTGCAACCAGTATAGCATCAGAAGTGAGGGGATTGCATTAGAATCTGACGACCTCCCTGAAGACGACAAGAGGAGACATAATTACAATTTAAAAAAATCCTAAGAGGAACAATTAAAAGGGAAGATAGGAACAGAGTATAGAGGACAGAATCAAGGAGACAGAAGCTGCAGACACAAACGAGTCATAAGGATGTACAGTATTTCTTTAGTATCAGGGGTGGTTGAAAAGTTGAATGATCTGACTGAAGCTGCTTCAACAGTATATAAGAAAAGCCCATGAGGCCAGAAATAAGTGATGCTGATCAAAGACTCGGCGAGTAAACACATACACAGGGCCAGGAGCAGTGACTCGATCCCTGCAACCACAATTAGGTGAGCAGACACACACGCGCACACACGCACACACACACACACACACACATACACACCTGGTCAAGCATATCATTAAATTAGAAAATAAACAGAGGTTTGCATCTAGACTTGATCCCTGAGCTAATGGGTATGTACTTTGAGAAGAAGTAATGATGACACAGTCTGATGGCACTAGATGAAAGAACGTCTAGGGGTGATATGTTAACTATCTATAAAATACCGAAAAGAATTCATAGGGTGTACAGGGACAAACTGTTTGAGAGACGGGAAACAGGAGCACAAGGGCACTGCTGAAAGTTAAAAACACAGATGAGTCACAGGGATGAGAAGATCTATTTCTTCAGTTGTCAGGAAGTGGAACGACCTGGAGACTGAAATGATAGAGGCAGAATCCAAGCATAGCTCTAAGAAGAGAAGCAACAAGGCTCTGGGTACCAGAGTTAACCTAGTAGCGACCAGCGAAGAGGCAGAGGCCAAGAGCAACCGCATATAGATGAGCACATATAGGTGAGTACACTAGTTGTAGCCTGTTTTTAATATATTTTAAAGACTTATCGGAAGGAAAAAACTATTTGAATATGTTTGCAGATGCAAAACAAATTCTAAAAGATTATGGCAAATCTTTACAAGATGACTTAAATATATTTCAAATAATGTAAATGGAAGAAAGAAAAAATCAGGCCAGATTAAAACATAGATTATCTGACAAAATATTTAAAATATTATACAAAGTGATCAGTTAGAGACCTAGGAGGCATTATATAAAAAATAAAACGTCACCCAAAGATCATATAAACGAAATTGTTAGAATCTCGTAAATAAATTCATGGATAAAGAAATATCTACAGAGCAGGAAACAGACTCTTTGTATTATATGCCGTATCCTCACTGGGGTCCCACAAGGTTCCGTCTTGGCACCCATACTCTTAAATCACATACTTAATATGTTAAACTTCTTATGTGATTCAAAACATTAATTTCCACGTAATCCTAAAAGTCGGTTTCTTAATGTAAATCTAGAAATATTTTTTAATAAGTTTTGGATAGGCTAGATTGGGCTAAGTTAGGTTAGGTTAAGTGAGCCAATAAAAACGTATTTACCTACAAATAAGAAAAAAAATCAGCACTGACACATCTGGCAACGAGGTGGCTGACCAGAACCCGAAAACGTTAAAATCTGCACGAGTATCATCAGTGGTGCCACAATAGTTTGCACTCTTACTAATATAGGTCAAAGGTTTTCACCGAAGTATATAATCGTTCGCTTCAGTGGTTGCATTAAACCAAACGAGAACTACTCAACACTTTAGAATAACCAACAGCTCTGTAGGAAATTAAAAAGAATGATCATAGACTAGAAGGTGAACTGCTTAAAGATAAGAATGAGAAAATCACAGAAGTAAACAGGAAGAAAGATCAGAGTATCGCATAACAATAAACCTATATTGAAAAGCACACATAAACCGTATAAATTCCAAAGGATACGCCACGTTCGCAAATACATGAATAATATTCTGGAATATAGACTGAGTAAAACATCAACACAATAAAGCGTATGCAAGATCAGTTCTTAAATACCCGGATGCGTCATAGAGCTAAATTTCGCGAAATAAAAGCAATGACAAAATATTATGAGAACAAAAACTGTAATTCATGAATAGTGAATGAAAGACGTGATCATGAGGCATAAAATACTTAAATAACTAGACAAGATTGAAGAAAAAACTGTTTAGCATAAGAAATGAGAGACATACGAAAACTGAACGAATGACACGACGAGAATATACAGAATATTTTTACAGCATCAGAGGAGAAATGTGAAAGAGACTAGAAATTGAAATAGTGGAATCTGAAACGATTCCCAGCTTTTAGCAAAGAGACAACACACCGATTTCAAGCTGCTTTACACAGAGACAGACAGACAGACAGACACACACACACACACACACACACACACACACACACACACACAAGTATACATATTTGGTTCTAATGCTCAGCTGAGCATTCTTTATATATAGTAATATTTATGCGTTCAGTGTTCATACACACACACATTATATATATATATGTGTGTGTGTGTGTGTGTGTGTGTGTGTGTGTGTGTGTGTGTGTGTGTTGTGTGTGTGTGAGCATGTATAGGTGAAAAACCCTTTAGTCGAGAGCGAATTCCAACACCCAACAAGGTAAATGAAAACTTAATGTAAAGCTGGTCTTGCCTTGTAGTTACAAATTCTTGAGCCTGCCTTGGTTCATGCTTCTGGTCCTGACGTATCTCATCACACTTAGGTAAATCAATAGTATGTTGCATCACTTGTTTTTAGGCTGTTGACCAAAGCCTTAATGGCGAGCCGAAATATGTAGCAATAATTTGATATTCAGTTTTTTGTCACCAGATGATCTCGCATATGCAGTTACATACTTATATATATATATATATATATATATATATATATATATATATATTATATATATATATATATATATATATATATAACTGATTAAATTAATACACATAGCTGTGGTTCTTCGGCTAAAATTATCTAGATGTGTAAAAATTAATTATGAACCTCAACTAGACCTATCTTACGAGGAGTGTTGAAAAAATTGACTTTCATTGCCTGAAAAGCGTAAAGAATTGAACTTTTATTGCGGTCAGAGTGGAAAAGATGGAATTTTTATTGCCCGACAAAAGGAAAATTGTCTTATAATTGCGTCGTATTTTTGGCTACAGGACTTTGCATTTGCATTGAATTAGCTTCTTTTTGTTTGCTCAGAATATAAGATATATATATATACATATACATATATAATATATATATATATATATATATATATATATATATATATATATATATATATATATATATATATATATATCGTGCCGAATAGGTAAAATTGGTCAATTAGCAAGAACTCATTTAAAAATAAGCTCTTTTTAAATTTTCTCTTATACGTTTAAAGATATATTTTTTCCATTTATGATAATTTAAAAATTAATAATTTTGTAAGAAAAGAACCTTAAAAAACTTATCTAACCTTATTATAACAACCGCAATTTAATTTAGCATAATCCGACTAAATATATTTTAGATAAGTATACAATAATTTAATAATAAAGAAACACAATGAAATATATTTTTTTTTTCGTTAGGTTCAGAATGATTTTTGCGAAATTATTGCTTACACAAATTTTCGCTTGCCTTATTCGGCAAGAAGAGCGTTACTATTTAAGCCAAAATCGCAAGTTTTACTTATTCAGCACGACATGTAAGATTATATATAATATATTTATATATATAATATATATATATATATATATATATATATATATATATATATATATATATAAAATACGAATTGCGATGGGAGATTACCTATTCTTATTACGTTCGTGGGAAAGCGCTAAGGTCGTCAAGGTCATCCTGTGGAATGGGAGGCAACCAGATTCGATCTCAGGATGGGCATCTACAATTCCTTGGATCAGAAGTTCTTCGCCGGCATCAAGACATATACCTCACCTTACCCTTCATTTCTCCATCTTTCTCTTCGAAAGAATGGGATCCACTGAGAATAATTTATAATTTTAATAGTAAAAATTATACTGCTCTAAGATCTAGCAAGAACATTCTTGCTCGTTGCATGGAAGGAAAATCGATATAGAAGCATGCAGTACTAAGTGCAAGTGGATAATTAATGTGTATTATGAATGCGAGCATGAAGACTCACCTTCCTCTGCTGCCAGAACATGAGTGGGGCCACATAATACTAGGAGACACAGAAATAGATCCAGGAAAGCGTCCAGAAGCATGGTGGAGCTCTCAGTCTTTCCACACGTCTTGTCACCACCGCACTTAACACTACAGTATCTCACCTCTCAGGCACTTGACGAATGCCTATCTACAGTATCAAAACATTTCGTTTTACAAAATACAAACTTCATTTGGTATATATATATATATATATATATATTTATATCTATATATATATATATATATATATATATATATATGTTCGTGTGTGTGTGTAATGCAAAAATAGTTGTAAGATACACACTTGACTCAATCGTGTATTTAAAAAACTTTAACAATGCACTTTGGTTACAGTATATAAGTGGCGGCCCCAGAAGTTACCACATCAACTGTAGAACTCTCAGAAAAAAAATGCAAATTTTTTACGAGTTGATAATACGAAACAAAAAAATATATGGGTTTTAGGGGTACGGTAGGTGAAACAACAAGAAGAGTTATGGGCAGTAAGTCAGCAGGAGTGGGGGTGGCAGCGAGGGTAGTGGCGTCGCCAGGGAGCTTACTTCTGCAGTAAGCAGCCACCGTGTTCACCCCGTCGCTCCGTCTCCACTACCTGCCGGAGAGACACTAAACCCGCCTCCAGCCTGCTGCTGCTGGCTGCCAGGTTCTGCTCAGTCGCACATGCTCCTGCTGGAGCTCCGCTCACGCGCCGCCGCTACCCTTCGTCAGCCCCGCCCTGTGCAACTCCTCCCGGATTTTGCTCAGGTTGTGTCAAGCTCGATGATGCACAGGTATAAAGCTAAGAGCTTTAGATTATTTCTCTCCCGAGAGAAAGATGAAATCGAGATCTTCGGAATGGAAAATGAAACGAACCCTCAAAAGAATAAATTACAGCTGCCCACCACTACCTGCATAGACAATATGAAATAATCAAGTTCAACGTCACATTTAACATCGAAGTAACCGATACCAGCCTCACGTATGTAAAACTTCACGTTGATCTGACATATTTGCATATGTATTCAGCTACTTTTTATATCGACGATCTTGTGTCTGGGCGGGTTGAGCTCTAACTCTTAGGCCCCACATTTCGCACTTCTATTGTGACTTACTCTCTGCCCTTCTGTGCTTTGTTCTACTTTTGAATCCATGTATTGAGTTTGCCTACACTTCATATATATTCATTATACATTCTATTTGTTCACTACCGTGACACTGAAGGTACTCCTTCTTATAACACTCTGACACATGTGAACCTATGCTATCCACATATGTACCATTATTTTCTCCTAAAATTACAAATAATTTGTCTCTAACTTTGCGCCTCTGAATATCCAATAATTTCTGATCATGTCTTCTCTGCTTTTCCAGTTTTCTAGTAATCCTATGATCGTAAATGAGCCCTCGTAGTTCTCGTATTAGCCTTCTAGTAAATCTTTCAACTTTCTAATAATTATTTTTGTGCTCACTGTCTTGAGCACTATGTGCTTAGTTGTCCTTTCATTGAGAAATATAGAGACAGACAGTATAATAACTTACGTGACATGTCAAGATATATTAATAATGAAAATAAGATACCAAATATATTAAGCAAATTTCCTAAATTTGCTTGTAACTGATAAGTGAACTGAAGTTATAAATGCAGATGTACTCCTGTAAATCCTTTAAAGGCCTAGTTCCTAGGCCTTTAGTGTATCCGTATGCTCTTCCACAGGACGGATATGGGGTGCACAATAAACTAGCCGCTTCAGTGGCAAAATCAAGAGAGGAGAGTTCTATACTGGCGCCTCTTACTCCAGTACCGGTCTTACTTATAAAGTGTACGATAAACTGAATGTCTCTTCGTTTAGAGTCCTGATGGCTGTTCTTATTTTTGACAACTTTACACATTCCGAAAATACTATTCTGTTCATGTGGGCCCAAAGTAGAAGGTTTCTGTGAAGTCCACCCCAAGGTTCTTTACTTTTCATTCTGTGAGTGTCTTTCTCGGGAGGTGTTCATTCTAAGGCTTTCAATCTTCTAATCTCATCCTCTCGTGTGTGTGTATGTGCACTCACCTAATTGTACTCATCTAATTGTGATTGCTGGGGTTGAGTGACAGCTCCTGGCCCAGCCTCTTCGCTGGTCGCTACTAGGTCACTCACTCCCTGCTCCGTGAGCTTTATCATACCTCTTCTTAAAGCTATGTATGGATCCTGCCTCCACCATCTCTCTTTCCAGACTATTCCAATTCCTGACAACTCTGTGACTGAAGAAATACTTTCTAATATCTCTGTGACTCACATGAGTCATAAAGATGTGATTCAGATGCGTATATATTTATATATAAATATATAAATATATATATATATATATATATATAATATATATATATATATATATATATATATATATGTGTGTGTGTGTGTGTGTGTGTGTGTGTGTGTTTACTCGCCAACCAATTTGTGGTTGTATGGATTAAGACTCGGCTCCTGATTTTGCCTCTTAGCTTACAGCTTGCCCTCCTTACTTCCTCCTAGCAGTGCGGACCCTTTATCTGTTCGTTCAACTATGTATCGAACCTACCTCCAATACCTTTTCATCTCGATCACTCAACTTTCAAACTGCCCTACAACTGAAGAAATACTGAATATCTCTGACTCATCTGTCTTGAACTATCATCCTCTGCAGTTGTGTACCTGTTTCCTGTACCTCAAATAATATATCCTTTAAAAATTCATACCACGGGCGGCGTTTGAACCCGTGGTTAGAGTCGAAAAATTCCAGACCGACGTGTTAGCCACTTGGCCAGCTGGCTACAATAAGATTCATCCAACTAGATATATTTATACACAATTGAAAGGTTAGCATAGGCACCACTGTGATCACAAATGCAAGTTTTTACAGACGAATCTCCCGCCAGCGTGGCCGTGATGAACTCTAGCTCAAGTGTACGCTGAGGTCAGTGGTCACGAAAAGTCAGTGGTTAGCGAGGTTAATGGTACCACTAACTCCCCTGCTAATCAAGGTAAGAACATTCTGGTTGTGGGTGACTCACAGGTAAGATATATGGACCGTGCTTTCTGTAACAGAGATAGGAGCGTTAGATAGAGTGTACTTCTCGAGAGCTGATGTTGATGAAAGTCAACAAGTTGGATATTATGATGTTAGGTAATGGGAACAAGCCCATCACCTGTCTTAGTGCTGGTGGAAAAGATATCGGGAAGGGCAGGAGACAAGAGCTGCTTATGGGCCGGAGTGTTTGCATTAGCCAACTCAATTGAGGGGGCCATTGCTGACTTGTCTAGGACTTTATACTGAGAGATTATAGAGTTGTGGGTGTGTGTGGGAAACAATCAGGCTACAGTACAAGGGCTGAAAGCAACAGATATTACAAAGATACCTCAGGCATATGTTTAATAGACAATATTTAAAATAAAGTTGCTAGTAATGGCAAAGTATTTGATCAACAAAGATAGACAGTAGAGGGCAGAGAGTGACTAGCTCCCTTAAGGTTTATTATATTAATAATAGGCGTCTAAGAAATAAGATAGATGAGCTAAGATTATTTGCATGTTCAGGTAATATAGATATTATTGCTATAACAGTGGCTTGGTTCAACCTGAAAGATAGAGAAATGCCTTCTGACTGCCACATACAAGGCTATAAACTATTCCACACTGATGGAGTCAACAGGAAGGGTGGTGGAGTGGCGATGTATGTCAGGAATAATTTAAATTGTTTTGTTAGACAAGATTAGAAACATCGGACAGAGAATCTGTTTGGCTACAATTCCTCGAGGGTCGTGACAAATTAATTTTGGATGTGATTTATAGGCCCCCCCAGATCTTGATAGGGAGTACAGTAAGCTATGGGACAAAATTCATATGGCGTCTAGATATGAAAATGTGTTAATGGGAGATTATAACTTTAGATATATTGATTCGAACAATATGACAAGAAATATTGAGTCTAGTGTCTTTCTTGATACGATTCAGCATTGCTTTTTAAAACCGTTTGTGACAGAACTAACTAGAGGAAACAACCTGCTTGACTTGGTTCTTGGAATCACTAGTTAATAATCTTGAGGTTAATAACGAGCTTGGGGAAAGCGATCACAAATCACATAGTTTCAATATATCATGGAATTACCCAAATAACTGCAATCAAGTCTCTGTCCCAGACTTCCGCTTGGCCGATTTCATGGGACTGAGAAATTACCTGGGTAGAATAAATTGGAACGACCTGACTATGGGTCAGGTAGGTGGTGGTGGTTGCCAATATGACATTTTTCAGAGCATAGTTCTAGCTGCCCAGACAACTTACGTTCCAAGTAGGAAAAAAATTATCCCAAATTGATAAACAATAGAAAACGCATCTCACTGGTCAAAAGAGAGGCATATATAGGCGCATCAAAAGAGGAGAGGGGCAGTTAAAAAATTAATGTATTCAATAGAGAAATAAAATGAGACTAAGAAAAGCCGAAATTCATTATGAGGCTAAAGTGGCAAGGGATTCGAAGACTAACCCCAAAGGTTTCTTTCAGTTATATAAAAGTAAGATTAGGGACAAGATTGGCCCACTCAAAAGTAACTCAGGTCAGATCACTGACAGTGATAAGGAAATGTGTGAAATTTTTAATTCTTATTTCCTCTCAGATTTTACGCAGGACGATACTAGCGAAATTCCAGAAATAATAAATTATGTAGAACAGGATGATGATAAAGTATTCACTACTAGGGTAACTAGTGACATGGTCCACAGACAAATAGAGAAATTAAAACCGAACAAATCCCCAGGCCCTGATGAACTGTTTGCAAGGGTTTTAAAGGAATGTAAAGAGGAGCTTAGCAAACCTTTGGCTAGTCTTTTCAACATATCACTACAAAATGGCATTGTGCCAGACCAATGGAAAATGGCAAATGTAATACCTATTTACAAAGCAGGAGACATGTTCTTAGTTTCGAACTATAGACCAATAAGCCTTACCTCCATAGTGAGAAAATTTATGGAATCAATAATTGCCGAGGCAATTCATAGCCATCTTGAAAGGCATGAATTGACTAATGAATCTCAGCATGGTTTTACAAAGAGGCGTTCCTGCCTTACGAATTTACCAACTTTTTTCACCAAGGTATTTGAGGAGGTAGATCATGGTAATGAATATGATATTGTGTATATGGACTTCAGTATGGCTTTTGATAGAGTTCCACATCAGAGGCTGTTGAGGAAAATTAAGGCACACGGAATAGGAGGAGAAATTTTTTCCTAGGTAGAGGCGTGGTTGACAGATAGGCAGCAGAGAATTTGCATCAATGGGGACAAATCAGAATGGGGGCACGTCACGAGTGGTGCTCCACAGGGGTCAGTGTTGGGCCTGTTGTTGTTCTCATTTTATATTAACGACATTAATGAAGGATTAAATAGCGACATAAGCAAGTCTTCTGATGACACCAAAACAGGTCGTCTAATTCATTCTAATGAGGACATTATAGCACTTCAGGGAAATTGAATAGACTATT